CGAAGGCCTCGTAGGGGGCCCGCGGGGGCCCCAGCACCACCGGCACGGCGCCGGCCACCAGCGCGTTGCGCCAGAACTTCTCGGTGATGTAGTCTCGGTGCTGTGAGTTCTCGAAGGACAGGTAGAAGCGGTACCGGGCCACGGTGGGCAGCAGGCAGTCGGCGCACAGGGGCCGCCCGTTGGCGCGGCCGAACACGTCCACCCGCAGGTGAGGCGCCAGCTGCCGGTACAGCCCCGCGCGCCGCTGCCGCACCTGGAAGTTGCTGACCACCCAGGCGGCCAGCCCGCTCTTGGCTGGCAGCGCCGGCGACGGTCCCAAGCGAGGCTCCAGGCAGCCGTAGGGCACAAAGATGTCCGAGTCGCGCCGGTAGCTCAGCACCCAGTTGAAGATGCCGCGAAAGTGGCTGAGGCCATGGGTGTGGCTGGGTGACTCCATGGAGGCCCACACCCAGGGCTGCCCGGGTGGCCGCTGAGCCAGGGGCAGGAGGGACTGCTGGGTCTCCAGCTCGCGGTGGTGGAAGACCACGACATCAGCGCTGGCCAGCAGGCTTCGGTTGGTGCTCAGGCGGCAGTGGGCCATGCCATAGCGAGCGCAGGTGTCGCTGGGCAACTCTGGGGACCGGTCAGCGAAAGGCCAGTGCCAGATAAGGATGGTTATTGCAGGCTGGGGTGCCGGGGGACCCCGAGGGGCCAACTCCAGCAGCCACAGCAGCCAGAGGGCCATGAGCAGGGCCCCCCAGGCCAGGGCCCCCCAGCCCTGCAGCCTCCATGTGGGACCGCACCCTGCAGCAGAACGAGGAAGGAGCAGCTCTGTCACTTTGGGTTCAGGAACACCACACCTGCCCCCTGCCACCCCCATCCTCTGCCTGCCTGGGTGCCCACCCTTCCCCCGCCCGGGCTTCCCCAGGGCCGGACACTTACCGGCATTATTCATCCACAGCCTCCCAGAATCAGTCACCCAAGAAATCCGAGGTTCTCAAATCACTGCAGCTGCCGACAGGCACCCTGAAATCACGGCTGTGCCCCGACTCAGCCCCCACCTAGAAGCACACTCCTTTCATCTGCCCAAGGTGAGGGAAGCCAGGGGACCTTCCCGCTCCCGCCCCGCCCCTGCCCCCATGATCTTTGGCATCAGCCACCATCTCCACCCCCTCCCTCATTAGTTCTCCCACTGCTGGGAAGGGGGTACGGCTACAGGTCAGGTGCCAAGCCAGGGCCCAATATGATGCCAGCTCACCCCTGCTGGTCTCCAGAAGGCCCAGAGATGACCAGCTGGGCACAGAGAGGAGGATGGGGGAGGGGCCCCCTGGGCCCCAGGAAAGGGAAGGCCACCAGGTGGGTGCCCTGAGCAGAGGTGGCCTCCAGCCACCACCCGTCACCCAAGCCTGGGGCACCGTGGGGAGTGCACTTCCCTTAGGAGGCCAGGCCCCTCCCGCTGTGGCATCGCCCACTTCCCCCAGCTTACCACCTGCTCAGCAGGGCTGTGGTCTCCCAGGAGACCCTCGCTCTTCACAGATATGCTGTGCTCAGCACTTTGCAGAGACTGAGGTTTCTTACTGCACCACCCCACGCCACCCTTGCCTCCTCTAGGACCCACCTTGTCCCCAGACCAGATACCCAGAGAGGGGATCCATCTCGGTGTCTGTCCACACAAGGCTGCAATGCATGCCCATGCGGGCAGACGCCAGGCTGGGCCTGGCCCCAGGGTGGGCTGGGGGGCTGCTGCATCTTTGTTCGCTTTCCAGGGACATATGCCCATAGAGCCCTGGGCAGTAAGTAGGTGGGGCCCAGGGTCCTGGGTGGGCTGGGAAGAGCTGTAGGCCACTTCCTCTGGGCTGCAGCAGCAGGGGGCTTTCCAGGCTGGATAGGGAAGGAGTCCTTGTGTCCCTGACCCGGGCGGGCACAGGGCTGGCGCCTGCTCCGGAAAAAGGAAGACTGGACTCAGCCCGAAGTTCAGACTTCCTGGCCGCCCCCCAACACCCCTCAGCCAGCCCTCATGGCCCTGGGGTCTGGTACCTCCAGGTCAGGTTCCTTCCCCTTTTATTCTGGCCCCTCTGATGCAACAAGCCCATGTGGCCATATGGGACGGCCTTGCAGGGTCACCCGAGCTCCATCTGCACCTCACTTTCAGCTGAGGTGGTGCCCCACCAGCTTCTTTCACCCCAGCCAGACCCCCCACACTTGCTGCATCCAAGACTTTCGTGGCCCCAGACATGGCATGGCAAAGCCTGGCACTCATGCCAGAGGTCTCAGGCCTGGTCAGGTGCTTGGAAGCCCCAGACTAGATGTCCCGGAATAAACAGCAACCAGGAACTGTCGGCTATTCTAGGGGGTCTGCCTCCCACCACCCTGTCCGTCCCTGTCCTGCTCCGTGTGTGGGCCTCCTCCAGCTCCAGATCCACCGTGAGGTCCAGGCTGCCATCGGGAGGAAACCAGGCAGCAGGCAGCAGACCCACTGTGGGGACAGAGGCAAGTCCAGAGGAGGATGACAGTTTGGCCGCTCAGAGACTCCCCACCCCCCTGCCCCACAAAGTAACCTCCGAGCTGTGGTGGGGAGTTGTGCAATGCGTCTAGAGGAGGGGAGGGCTGTGGAAGCCATCGGGGTCTGTCCAGCTGGCCTGAAGTGCTTTGCTCTCCAGTGGCTGGCCGCAGAGTGGGCAGCCCCCGCCAGCCCTGTCCTTCCAGCCACCCTGATGCTTAGTGAGATGATCATGGTGGCACCTGGACCTTTGACCCCACCCCAGTATCTCTCTCAGGCAGTGGGACCCCAGGAGGACCACACCCTGGCTTCGGGTCTCTTCTCCCTGTGGCGGGCACCCAGCAGGCAGCAGGGCCTGAAGGAAGGAGGTGATCCTGCCACAGCCCGCGGGTGACCCAGCTCTGGCTGCCAAGCCTGCTGTCCTTCCTGTTTGTGCTGCCAGGCTGGCTGGGGCCCTTGCCACCGGCCTCGCCCACACCCACAGTCAGCTCCCTTCCTGGGTGGATTCACAGGAGCCTCCCCACCCCCTGCCTTGGGTTTGCTCCTCCTTGAGGGCCTGCTCAGGTGGGCCACCATGAGGCCCCACTGTGGGAACCTGCTGCTGGGAAATGGGGCTCAGAGGTTTGGCCCAGAAATGGGTCAGAACGAAAGGCTCTCAGAGGAAAGAGAAGGGGGCAAGAGACCATGAGTCAAAGGGAAAGTCAGGGGCCCCATCCTGCCATCTCACTCACTGGGTGCTTGAGGGCACAGGTGGCACCTAACCCCAGCTCAACAGCCCACGAGCATCGTGGGGTCAGGAACATGTGCTCTCCCCCAGCTGAGCCCTTCCGCCCAGCCCGGGGCCAATGTCTTGGTGAACTCCAATTAAAGGGGCCTCAACCCCATGAGCCCTACCCCAGATTCAGGGCAGGCCACTGGTCTGCGGACTGCTGTCCCCACTGAAGACAACAGCACCAGGGGCAGCAAGAATGTCAGGGGTGCCCAGCCCCAGCTGAAGGGGTGCCTCAGGGAGCGGGACAGAGCCTGACTACCCGCCTGACCACCCTAAGGGTTGGCCTGAGCAGGGCAGAGTACAGACGCGTGCCACGAGGGCCCCCTGGTGGCCCTGCTCCAAAGCCACCTGGCTCCTGCCAAGGAGGAAGCAGCATCTTGGAGGCTGGCAGATGGCTAAAGGGGCCCCCAGGTGAGAGGCAAAGCTGAGGGGGACAGCACAAGGGCAGTGGGCCGCAGACAGCAGGAGGGGAGACCTTTCTGGGCCACCTGAGGGTGCAGTGCAGCGGTGGGCCCCTCCCTCCTATAAAGACTGGGGCAGGGGAGGGGGGTGCGGGGCACATCTGCATCCTTGCCCTTGTCCAGGTAGAGCTCCTGGGCCAGCTCCACGATCTGCTGGGGGCTGCTCCTCCAGGGATCCGTGCACTGCACCCCCACATCTTGCATGTCCTTTTCTATTCTGTGAATTGTAAGTGGAAGGACATCACCTCCCAGGCCCAAAGCTGTCCCAGGTCCCCACTTCCTAGAGTCCTGGCTAGGCAATCATCGCGCCACATTCCATGCCAAGCGTGGTCTTGCCTCGGAGTCTTGCTGGGTTGGGGACATTTCTAAATGGATGAGTGTCACCCGAGGACCTATGCTGGGGTGAGAGGATGTCACCCTGGCATCTGTGCTCAGAAAGGGCTCCAGGCAAGGGAAGCACAGACACTTCCCGCTGGGCTTCCACTAGTGACAGCCGAATGCAGGAGGAGCTGGGCCGCTGGAGGCCAGGCCTGCAAAGGGCTCAGGCGGGCTCAGGGCTCAAGGTGGGGTCCAGCCAGAGTGCTGAGAGGAAATGAGCCTCTTGCTGCTTGCCAGAGAAGGTGCTCCTCGGCAGGAGCCCTGTGGCAAGGTCAGGGACAGCAGCCAGGCTCTGACACTGCCGGTGGAGGCCAGGCCACTTGCCCAGGATCGAGGTCTCCAGAGTCCCAGGACAGCACACCCCCACCCCAGGGGTTATGGGAGGGAGGGTGGCTAGTGACAGCAGGACAGTAGGATTTGGATAAAATTGAGGAGTTCTCTCCTTTTGAACTGGCACGGGGCTAATAGAAGCCAAAAGAGGCAGGTGGGGAGTGGGATGCTGGGCTGACGGGGGTCCGTGCCAGGTAAGTGGGCTGAGGGTGGCCCTGCCCACCCTTCCTCAGCCAAGGCCCACCAGCCTCTATTCATTGCAGCTGCCACTGGGAGGGGACCCTCCTCCTCAAAGCCAGGGACAGGATGGAGACTACCAGAAGGTGGAGATGACACACACCAGGTGGCCGACCCCAGCCCTCAGGTCGGGCCAGCAGGAGTGGGATGGGTGAGCATTGTGACCTCAGAGCTTTCCGCGCGTCTGCTCTTGAGCAAGGCTTCCATCTCTCTGCGCACGTTTACTCTGTTGCTGTCTTCCCCAATGACTCAGATTACATGACAACGGACATGCCATGCCCCCATTCCACACGGTTCCATCTCCCACACTAATGTCCAAAGGGTAACTGAGGCTCCCAGCTGAGGACCAGCCCAAGGTCATACCTGAGGAGTGGGGCGCTGAGGGGGAAGGGGGCTTCCTGGTCGGGGTCGGCTCTGGCCCCCAAAACATGCCACTGGGACAAACCAGTGGCTCCAAACATGGGTGACCGCATTTCCACCAGCCTGCCCCACCCACTCTCGCCTCAGGGACCTGCCTGCCCCAAACTGGCCTTTTCTCCCCCATCTCAGGGCTGTCTAGGAGCCCTGACCCCCCACTCTTAGCAACACTGAAGGGCTTCTGAGCCCAATTCCTGCCCCTCCGCAGCCTCCATGGGACAGACTACTGCCCCTGCTCTGCGCCCCAGCCTGGTGCTGGCCCAATCTCGGAACCTTTGACCACACAGTCCCCCACCTCCCCGCCAGCCTCCTTGCTTCTCAGGGTGGGGAAGTGGTGGGCTGACCCCAGCTCTGTGCACTCAGGGCTGTCTGCCACCGTACCCCTCCCCCACAGCCCACCTGGCCATGCATTCGTGTGCACAGCCTGGGCCTCTCAGGTCCCTGTGCCTGGTGTGCCCCGATCCCACATATGCTGCAGGGGCCCAGGAGCCTTTGGGGTCTCCTGGGAAAAACGACTCTTAAGGCCTGCCTCCTGCCCTCCCCGCTTCCTGCCAGGTGGACAGGCAGCAACGCAGGTGCTGGGCACCCACATCCAGGTGTGTGTGGACTGCCTCCTCTCCCAGCCCTTTTTATAACACAGGATGGGGTCTTCCAGAGAGTTAAAGCCACCTCTGGACTGGCCTCACCCTACACTGTGCACGACCCCTCCCCCACTTCGGGGTGGAAGTGTCAGTAGGGGCGGGGCCCGGCTGAGAGGGAGGGGATGCAGTGGCCCTGTGTGTTTGCCTTTCTACCCCAGCCTTCGTGGGAGGGTCCTCCTAGGTAGGGGACAGAGGTGCCCCCTCTCTCTGGGGGTGCAGGAGGCCCCAGGCTCCCCACTCCAGGGCCCATCAGTCAGGGACCCAAATGGGGGATGGGGGTGGCTGAGGAGTAACCGACGCCTCCAACACTCCAAAAGCCACACGTTTGAAATGTACTTTAATTACCTTTTGTCTCCAGAATTCCCCATCCATGCCCCCGGGTTCTAGGGTTCTCCCCGCCCCCTCCAGTTTGGGGGTCCAGACCGGACAGGAGAGGTGCAAGGGGGACAGAAGGTCTCCCGGCACAAGGGGGTGTCTCCCTGGCAAGAGGTCCCGGGGTCCAGCGCTCCCGCCCAGCCACCAGCACGCAGAATATCAGAACGTGTTCTTTTGAACGGGCAGCACCGGGCCCTGCCCGTCCCCGCCCGAGGGCCGTGCGGTCGGCGAGCGGGGTCGTCCCGCCCGCTTCGGGTCACTGCAGCGGGGGCGCCGACAGCGAGGCGTGGTCGAACAGCGGGTTGCGCACCTCCATCTCCCCGGTCTGCAAGGCGGGAAGGGGCGGGCAGTGAGGCGCTGGGAGGGGCCCCCACAGCTGGCGAGCCCCTGCCCCGCGCCCGAGGCACTCACCGGGGCCAGGCCCGGGCACTCATACACCGTGAAGTCACCGTCTTCATTCTCCTCGTCCGAGGAGGCTGAGTCCACCTCCTTGGGCGGCTCTTTATGCCTGGGTGGGGGGCGGGATCGCTGGTCCTCCCCACACCCTCCAGGTGCCAATGGCCCAGGCTGGAAATGGGAGCTGGGCGCACCGGCCCCAGGTGGGGGTCTGGAGGGGGCCGGGCGGGGGGTAGGGTGGTGGCAGGCTCT